ATTGCCGCAATGCGTTTAACTCGGATCTATGCACACACGCGCGCTCGTCCACGCACGGCGACGCGAGAGGAAGTTAAATTAACGAGTGAAGCTTGGTGTACGGAGCGGAGTTTGTTGCAGGAGGGAAGCGGCCCGGAGTAGCGTATCTCGGATATGCAAATTCGTAATAACGCTTTGCAGTATTACCGGTATTGCCCTATACTGCTCGTTGAAATTTACCGGAACACGCATCGGATAAAATCCGTATTACGTTATATCTCCCCCTCCCTTTCTCTCCTCATCTCAATTTTTCGTCTTCGATTTTTCAATTTTTCCACCGAAAGTCGATAGGAACGTTTGAAGGAAAGGGAAAGGGAAGGTTTTGATGAAGCATGGAAAAAAGAAGCGGATACATTTTTCTTTCCTCCGTGTTGATCAAATATCTTCGATCTAAATATCTACGTGGAATTGGCGATAATTGAGAGTAGAGAAGAAAAGAAAGGAGAGAATAGAAACGCACGTCGAAGAAATGGAGCGAAAGCTTTTCACGCGCGACAGCTGCAAAGGCGCGAAACGAACGCGTGAATTTTATGTTCCGTGAACGAACCACCCTTTCGCAACTCTGGCATTTTCTTCTCTAGCCCGTTCGAAAGACATCGATTGGGTTCATCTTCCGGTTCCTCTCGTTTTCAATACGTTAAAAAAATTCAAGCAACGTCGAGCAACGTTCGAACATTTCGCGCTGTTTGAAATTTTTCAACGTCCGGTTGAAAGGAAACGGCCAAGAGAATCCCTTGAGGATATTTCCGTTGATTCACGTGCTTCCGGATTAAGGAACGATCGATGGGCACGTGTCTTCTCTCGTGTCACCGAAAAGGTTTCATTTTTTTCCCCCTCGGAATAGGCGGATGTGTGAAGTCATTTTCCACTTTTTTCGTGCTCCAAGGATCATTAATTTTTTTTTCCATCGATGATCGATAAAATTATAATAATTATTATTACTATTGTTATTATTATTATCGCAGCGATTCGTATTTTTTTTCGCGTATTCGAGTTTATAAATTTTTCGAATCTCTATCTGTGAATTTTATTCGACAATAATACGAGAATTTTAATTATCGAGATTATTATTATCCATCTCGAAGAGTAAATATAAATATAATTAGATAGGACATCATAGTAAAGTAGCATGGTCAATATGTCGTCAAAATTCGGGCCTCGAATTCGCTCGCTTCCCGACGAGGGTCTTCTTTGTGTAATCGTGACCCATTATTTCCATGCTGGGGGCACGTGAACCATATGGTTCACGTGATCATCGATGCACGCGTTCTCGATCCTCGATCGAGCTATCGAATTCACGAAATTTAAACTTTACACGCGCGATCAGTTCCACGTCCGCGCTTCGTTGGCTTCATGGGAAATAACGTTGGCCATTCTCTGTCCCTGCATTTTTTTTTTTTCTTTTTCCTCTCTTCTTCTTCCTTGCACCCCTTCGTTCTCCCCCTCAAAGTGCTCGTGTTCGAAGCGCGTACAACACTGCCGGCCATTTTGCATTCGTTTCCGATCGGACGATTACGATTAGATATTTAAATGTTTCGTCGTTGTTGCGCGCAATTCAGCGTTACGTTACAGTTCTAGCAGTGGACACAGAACAATTAGCAATGGGCTCACCAAGCCGTAGCCGCTAAATATGCATCAGATTGCACCGATCTGAAACTCTCACTTTTTTTGTCGATCGTGTATCCTGTGCGTTATCGATGTCACATGTGACAAGAAGCCTTTTGCCTCTTTCCGTTTTCTTTTTTTTTCTTTTCTTTTTTTTTTTTTTTTTTTTTTTTTTTTTTTTTTTTTTTTTTTTTCTTTTTGGCGAAAAAATCTTGTTTCGTTTACATTCGACCGTTACAGGAATGGTATTTGTGCGAGAGAGCATTGTTCATTGTGCAACGGCGTACACCTGCGCTTTATGATTACTAAAAACGGAAGAACTCCCCCGTATATACCTGTTTCACCTGTACTTTTCTGTACTTTCACGCGTGTATCATGTAAATGATAAAAAATGTAAATACGTTCTTTAAACGATATTCTTTGGAGAATATTTCATGAATCGAATAAATTATGAATCGGGAAGATAGGTTTTTTTATACGTTATTCTCGATTTCTATATTGTAATTAGTATTGATTTAAATAGAAATGGTTATTTTGAAATTGTAGAATAGATTTTTCGCCCATAATTATTTATAAGTAAAAAAAAATATTATTCATTAGAAATAAATAAGGGAACTTTTTTAATAATTTTATCATAAGTAGAAATATTTGTATCAAAAATTATATTATATTATCAACAGTCGATA